GGGTCTCTGTTAGGAGACCACGTTTAAGATTTCTTCTGTAGCAAATGGAAAGCTACTGACAGATTGTAAGCTACAAACAATATGCTATTATTTGTGTCCTAGAACTGTCGCTTTATCATTAGAGCTATGGGCAGTAATTCTAGAAAGGAGAGATTTTATGAGGCAGGGTCAGAGAGGATGCAGTTCTGAGTGAGAGTAGGAACAAGTGACAGGGGAGTGAGGTGTGAGTCTAGAGAATTTAGGAGTTGTCCCAAGGACTGATTTATGAGATAAAGGCAGAGAAGAATTCCTTCATGAGGGGTTCTAGGACCTTCACCTGAGTAACTAGGTGGACGACAGTGATTTGATTCTGATATCTGGTACTAGAGGAAGGGTAGCTTGGGCTTGGGAAGAGCCAGAGAAGAAAATTCAGTCTCGTAAGATGTCTACTTTGAGTCACCCATGGACCATCTGAGTGGAAACATCCAATGTGGCTAGAAATGTGGGCTAAAACAGGGTACAGCTGCACATTGCTTTAATCCCAGTACATAAAAGGCTGAGACAGAAGGCTACTTAAGAAGAAGACCCTGGTCAAATAAATTAACAAAAAGTTAACAACCATGTAAACAGGTTGTAGGCTCATGGCAGAAAAACTTAAAATTGAAAATTCATTTGTGTGGAGGTTCACATGAAGGGACAGGATTGTCAGGGATGGCACAGACAAGAGGCCCACATGTGATGTGTAGAAAACTATTACTAAGTGTTAAAGAAGGAAGAGGAGAGAGAGACTAGAAATGGAAATGAGGGATGTGTCAGTTAGATGACCCGGGAAGGTGTTGCTATGGAAACACAGAAGCCCTTGGAGTCCAGTTTCTGTACATCAAAACCACAGTCCACAGATGTTCTGAGAACGGGAATATAATTTCTCTGCTTCAGTGTTGCAGACACAAATGAGCAGAGGCGACAGGCATTCCCACCCATCCTCTTCTATCTCTAGGATCTACCATGAAGACGACATCCCAGGCAGCTACAAATCCAAGAAGATTGTGCAGACATGCCAAGTGGGCCATCTCCAGTTGAAAGACTGGATCAAACTGCCAACAGTGCAGGCGCTTTCCATCGCTGACCCACAGGCATGCTGCATGGGAACCAAAGTCTGCTATGAAACAGCTCTGAGTCTGGGGGTTGCTATGCGGCATGTTTGTGGCAGCTGCTGACCAGCACAAGTTACTTGTTAATGTTATAAAGAAATCAATCAGTATTTTAAAATCAGATCACTGACAGTTTCCATCTAAGACCAAATAAGGGAGCAGATAGGAACAGGCCTCCTGAGCCATTTAATAGGGGCGGGCACTGTCAAATTATCATGCCGTGTTTTATCACGCTATAGTGTGCACACGGATGTCCTCAGTGGATTCTGTAGGCTGCCTTCTCCCTCACATGTTCTCAACAGCATATCTTTAGTACTTACAGAAACCCACAGATGGCTCAGAGGGCACAGGCACTGGGTTCAATAATCGTCTCTCATCTCAGTCCTCAGTTTGAGAGAGCTAAGCTCATCAAGAGGAAAGTAAGTGTGTGTGTGTGTGTGTGTGTGTGTGTGTGTGTGTGTGTGTGTGTGTCTGTCTGTCTGTCTGTCTGTCTGTCTGTCTCTCTCTGTGTGTGTGTGAAGCAGGTTTCACAATTAGAATCCTTGCTGTTTATCCACCATTGTTGACTATGTCTTCGGACAGATGTATTTGGTTCCAGAAAATTGAGCTTCCCGCTGACTCTGCCTCTCTCTAATTATCTACAAGTGTCCCTGTATCTTCGTCTGGATGTGTAGAGCCCTCAGTGTAAGTAGAATGTAAAATTCTCAGATTTGTTCCATCATTCAGACAGAGAGAAGGACAGAGGAGCAAGGATCTCCACCTGGGCATTGGCTTAATCCAGTCATGTTCAGAGATGCCCTGTAAGGACACAGGGGTTGGAGACCTAAAAGTGAATAGCTTAGGCTCTCAAGAAAGGCAGACTGGCTTGAACCTTCCACACCAGTTGTCAGGCAGTCTGGGGTTGAACTGGTCGTCCAATCTCAGCTTTGTCTTCCCACTGCTATGCTGGGGAAAATGTATTCTCAGAAAGATTCCCTTAACCACTGGGGAAAGTGTGGCGGGGGCAAGTGAGGACGTAGAAAGGAAGGCTGGAGAGCTGCTGCAGGACTAGAGAGAAGCCCATGAGAGCCGGCACAAGTGTCCAGGCACAGAGACTGCCTCCACATACCTAGCAAGCTCACATGAAATAAACTGAAAGGGATTATTCCAACTTTTGCTCCAAAATCCCATTCAGAAGCAGGGGCTTGTGATGAGCAGCAAGATGGAGAATAGGAAGAAAAGCCTCCAGAAGTGAGGGCAGGAAAAGCACTGGCTTCCTGACAGCTGGATGCAGAGAGAGAGAGAGAGAGAGAGAGAGAGAGAGAGAGAGAGAGAGAGAGAGAGAGAGAGAGAGGGGTGTGCTGGGCACGGGGCTGGGGTTGGGGCTAGAGGAAAATTAAAGGGACATTTCCTTTCCAAAAGGACGCAGGACTATCTTTGGTTGTACCTTTCCTTTTTTATTTTTTAAAGAACTGAGAAGTTCATGAAGAGATGAACTGGAGATAATTTGGGTTTTATGTACGTATTTCAAGACATTTGCTAAGTTAGTTGTCAGAGAACTCAGAGCACAGTGCTGTTGAATGATTCTCACTAACTATTACTCCTCTCTCTCTCCTCTCTCCCCCCCCCCCCCGCCCCCCCCCCTCTCTCTGTGTGATGTAGCCAGGGAAAAAAGCCAAGGAAATGAATGATAACAGATCAATTATTTTAGCAACTTTGATAGGAAAGAAAGCTGTTCACTTTACACATTAAGTATCAGAACCCAAACTGAATTGTATTTCAACTATTACTCTGTGTTTCCATTTTTTAAATTAATAAGCCCCCCTCCCTGCCCCCAGACAGGACTATGTTATAAAGCCCTGGCTGGCCTTGAACTTATGATCCCTCTGCTTCAGCCAAGTGCTGAGATTACAAATATGTGCCACTGTACTTGGCTTTTTAAATGTATTATTACTTTAATTTGCTACTATCAGGAAAAATAGGCTACATATATTTAAAAAGTTATATTTTTTATGTGCATTGGTGTTTTGCCTGCATGTATGTGTGTGTGTGAGTGTGTCGTTCTCTTGAAACTGGAGTTAGAAATGGTTGTGAGCTGCCATATGGGTGCTGGAAACTGATCCCTGGTCCTCTGGAAAAGCAGCCAGTGCTCTCAACTGCTGAGCCATCTCTCCAGCCCCAGTAATATGTTTTATGCATATGCCAGTACTTATCAACTCTCATCACTTAAATTCAGTCTGTGATTTGGGGTGGGTCTGAAGTTATGATTAAAAGGCTTTTCCCTTTTATCATGCAAATGGTTTAAAACTATAAGAATAAATATTTTAGAATAGGTAATTGTGCTAATTACAATTCTTTCAAGGTTAATTTTAATCCTTTAAGAACAACGCTAAGGAGTGACTGTTGATAGGGGTAACTTAACTCATGTCTTCCTCGGCTTATACAATGGGATCCACTAGTTTATTTGAAAATTGGAAATCACCGACCACTTGGTTATCTGGACATAAGTAGAGGAATATCTACCTAAAATTAAACTTTTTTTTTTTTTTTTTGGTTTTTCAAGACAGGGTTTCTCTGTGTAGCTTTGGAGCCTATCCTGGCACTCACTCTGGCACTCAGGCTGGCCTCGAACTCACAGAGATCTGCCTGCCTCTGCCTCCCTAGTGCTGGGATTAAAGGCGTGTGCCACCAACGCCCGGCTAAAATGAAACTTTTAAGTAACAGTTTAAACAAACTACGCAGCTCAGTTCATGCAAAGGAAACAGTCAACAGGCCAATGGCACCAACTGTAAGTGAAAAGTGGGCATGTAAGTGTAAGCTAAAAGGGCTTGAAAGTAGTTTTAAATAGCCAGATCATGAAAAAGAAAGTTCTTTACTTTTTGTCTCATAACCTATGCAGAGCAAAAGTCTCACAGATAGAAGTAAATAGGCGACATCCCATTAACCAAATCTCAAGTCGTCACCTGTAAAGTGAGGAGGTTGGGTATGCTGGTCTCAAAAGGATTTTCTGTCTCTTAAAGTCTTTGATTTTATTCAATACCATCTAGGCTTAGAAATATATATATATATTATACTTATTTTTCTTTGCTCTGTATGATTACTGTACATGTTTTAAGTATTGTTATAGCAAAGTCACTGAAAAATAACCCTTTGCTGGGTGTTCTTTAAACCGATTTGTTCTCCTTTTAGTCGTATTTATAAAGTTTTCCTGACGCTGCTTCTCACAGATGAAACACAGCGTGATGCAGACACTTACAATAGCAGCCACTACTATGAAGCCAAGGAAAAGGCTGCTTTGAGATCCAACTGCCTCTCGCCTAGAGGATCAGGTCCAGGGAGTTTTCTGTTGCTATTAAGGTGTGAATGGTTCTCTGAAGCCATTTAGAAACAACCAAAGTTCTCAGCAGCAACAATCAACCCTGTGCTGTGTCAAAGCACATCAGATGGCTGGAATTCCATGCCTGGAACAAACGCTATTGCTCATTATGTGAATACATAATGAAAGGATGTGGGCAAAGAACAGAATATAAATTGGAAGCTGACTTCTGAATGTGCTAGGCAGCAGTACTGGGCTGAAACACTCATTCTAATTTCAAGAGACAATTCCAAAGTAGTTCTCAAGAGAAAGGACGAGGTATTTTTCAAATATTTGTTCAATATGAATGGGTAGGGGATGCCAAAAATGACTTTATGCTGGCATGCGATCTCTTGGAGGGAAGTCAGCCTGAGTCACTGGATACATCAAAGGTAGAGAGTCCAGTGAATGGAATTACTGCAGGCTGTGTGAGCAAGCCAGATACCTGAGTTCATCTGCCCACTGCTGCGATTTCAGCCTCCTTTTAATTACATTAAAGCAGCTGGTACCACTGGTTACTGCAGTCTTTAGATTACCTTGATTGCTTGGTCATTATCTCTAATCAGCTGCTGCTTCTCATCTTCAAACTTTTGTATAGCATCCTGGAGCCGCCTTTCTGCAGCAAGCTGCTGCCGACTGCTCTCCTCTTTCAGGGAGGAAATGGTTGTCTGAAGCTCTGCTATGATCTAAAATGAAAACAGCATGCTGTAGCTTCAAATTCTCCACGAGAGGCATCTATTTTATATGTATTTATGCTTAACAAAGGAATGAATTTGGCAAAACTCTGTTCCACAAACTGAACATTTTCAATTAACATATCACTCAGGATAATGCATGAAATTCCACACAATAAAAGACTACAATAAAACTGTGAATGGTGAACAACTGCTGAACCAAATATATTTGGAAGGCATTTCCACTCTAACATTCCACAATATTTACTCATCAGAAGAAAGAACATCTGTGATCTCAAAAAAATGAAAAGAGTCAGACTGTATTTTACTGAGAAATAAAATTCTTAAGAGTGAAGAAGGCTGGTCTGACTTTGTAAGACTTTGTACCACCACCACCACCACCACCACCACCACCACCACCACCACCACCACCACCAGCAACACCACCAGCAACACCACCTCCACCACCACCACCACCACCATTCACTACCACCTCCAGCAACACCACAAACCTCTACCACCAGCACCAGCACCACCACACACTACCACCACCATCCGCCAGCACCACCCTGATTTTGCATGGTCATGTTTATTCTTTATGATCACCCAATTCCACACAGTAAGTTGTGGGTATTAACTAATGTTATGTACTGTGCTGCTGAGATTTAAAGCTTTTATATTATTTGCTACTGTGATATAGTCTGATTATCCCCTCTTTAAAAAGAGGAAACACAAAGAGGTCAAACATTTTATATTGCTGAAGATGATGGACAAGAATTGAAGCTCACAGTCACCTTCATCTTCTAATGAGCCAATTCCATTTTTGTTTTTAACAAAATTTTGGTGAGAAGTTCGCACTTCCAAGTAGGCTGCGTCCTTCCTAAGTGCACACTCGTGAAAGTTTATTCTGGCTCGGATAGTGCCCTTCCACAGGGACTCCTGTAGCTCTCTCCACATTCAGGAGTTAGTTCCCTCCAGGGCAGGGTTCCCGCCACCTTCTCAAATTAACATCTGATGAGGAATGCAATGGGCCCACTGAGAGTGTATCTCTTCCTTTGCTTTGGATGCAGCCATTTCCTTTCAATCTCAACGGCGGCGAGGATTGTTTTTGAAAGCAGGAAATGGTTGTTTCTCTAATAAAAGAAACAGTATCAGTACTCACAATGCTGAAACAGTACCAGTGTTCACAATACAGCTCTGTGAGTGGGATGCCAACAGTGAGAAACACGGGGCTTAGCTGTCTTCCTTGAGCTCAGTTTCCCACAAAACAGGAGCACAACATCAAAAGACAAAGCAATGGAAACTATATGGAGGGTCATAAAAACCACACGACATAGAAATACTAGTTGTCACAATGGACATGCACAGAACATTGTTATGATAAAAATGGAGTGTTCATGCTTGGTGTGCAAATTTGCTGTAACAAAGTTTAAAATTTAATCAAATGCTAAGATTATCTTGAAATGAAGAAATTCATAAGAGCAGATGAGAATATTAAATGGACCCTCTGCTGTGAGTGGAGGAATTCACTTACTGAGAATAGAATACTGTTCATCTATTTTAAGAATTTTGATTAAATGTTGCTCCCGTGCAACAAATGTTACATCCGGTCAATTACTTTTCATAGCACTTTCATCCATAAGTAGTAAAGGTTAAATTCCTACAGTAAATGTCAAAAACTGAAGCACAGAAGAACCAGCCTCTAGTTACAGGGCCAGGGGGGTTAGGAATAAGAAAGCCAGATTTCCTCAACCTACCATGAAATTGAAGATTGATATTTTATAGGAACATGGGGCCAAACAGACAACACAGTTTAATATTTCAGTGTCTGCAGCTGAGAAAACCACAACTTCATACAAGTGGGGCATTTAACTCTGTGGTGTGTGTTTAGTTCTCTACAATTTTGTCACATGTGTAGATTTGGGTATCTATCATAGTCATGTAATCTACTTTTAAAGTACATGGGATTTATTTTCCTTTTAAAAATACTATAATTGAGCAAATCAGTATTGAGTAGAAACAGGAGGATCAGGAGTTTAAGGTCAGTTTTAGCTACATGGTAAGTTTGTGACTAGCTTGGGATACATGAGACCTTGCCTCAAAAAAAAAAAGTAAGACTGAGATCAGTATAGCTAAGATTGAAGATCAAAATATTTTGAGGTATTTAAAATGATTTTAAGGGCTCAAGATCGGGATATTCCTCATTCTTAGAAGATTCTGGCCAATGCATACAAGAAGAAATGAGTGTAGGTTTTGGAAGGAACTATCCATGACATTCTAAGGAAGGCACACTTGCTTTTACATTTTTATGGGGAGGAATAATAAGACCTCTATAGGGGTAAATTTTGATTATATTTGGAAAGCTATTTTAAAACTTATAAAGGTGACATAAGGAAATGTCAAAACACTTGAAGTCAAACACTATGGCTAGACAAGTAGGTTGATTAGTAGGTAGGATGACAGTGTGTCACCTAAAAAAAAAGATTTGATATTCTAAATATCCCAGATTAAGAAGAACTTAGAATACCTGGCTAGCAAATATGGTTTAGGTTAGGAAAACAGCATGGATCTCCATGTCTATTCACTGTAGACTTCGGAGTACAAGAAAACAAACTTTTCCACCTTAGGTGAGAGCATATATCACTGGCAGTAAGTATTTAAGTAATGAATTATAATGATAAATTAAGTAGTGAACTCTCATGGTAAATAAGAAACATCCCCATCAGGAAAAATAAATTGACATAGCTTAGCCTTTCCATAAGCACTAGTAAAAAGTTTTGGAAAAAATTAAAAGGAATTGGTTATATCCAATCATAATTGGGAGTTTCCAGTTTGGATAGAATCATAATTAGAGATTATAAAGAAAAATGTCACTAAGTGTTTTCCCTACATTTATTTCATAGTAAGGAGTGGATCAGGACATTTTTATGTAGATATGAAAAATGAACACTCTGGTAGACAGCAGGCGCTATTTTGGGAGGATGCTGTAAGCAGCCTGACCCATGAAAGCAATAATGGTTTCTAATGATTGTTAAGCAATGAAACTTTGTGTATTTATTAGGATCTTATTTAAAGTCTTTACAGAATTTAAAATAAAGGTTAAATTTCACTTTTTATTTCTAGTGTGTGTGTGTGTGTGTGTGTGTGTGTGTGTGTGTGTGTGTGTACGCACGCGTTGGTACAGTTTGAGGCTTGTAAAATTCTTCCTCTAAGTTCAATAGCCAACAAAAACCGTAACTAGAAAGGACAGGAAGGCACTGGGGTTCCTCACAAAATACAGGAGGGCAGAGCCCTTTGCTACCTTCCGCATGGCCCCTAGACACAGTGGGGGCATGAGGCATACTTCATGGGCATTAATCTGCACCATGAAGGGGAAGCTAGCCAGGGTAGTGCCTAGGGTTGACTGGCAGTGGGTGGGTATGGCTGGCACCTGGTCCTCTTCAGCTATGAATATTTTAGCAAAATGGTACTACCTTGTTTTGGCAAATGAAGAGTAGGGAACTGAACTGAGTTTAGAGACTGTGTTAAGCTGAGAAGGCAAGGTTGATATCTAATATTCAGACAAAAAGAACAAACGCGTGTGGTGATACTTGTTTATGATCTAGCAAAGCTTGCCTGAAGATCAGAAAAGCAAAGCAGCCAGCCATTAGCTCTTAACTCTACCTCAGACTGAAAGGGGGACTCTGTCTCCAGGAATCCTCAGATTGAATCCCATTGCACTGTTCTCCATCAAACCTCAAACCACCTAGACTGCTCCTGTCTCCTCTCACCTTATATTCCTCTCTAGTGCTGGGATTAAAGGCATGTCATCCCAAGTGCTGGGATCAAATGTGTGATCCTCTATGGCTAAACAGTGGCCTAGGTATGTGGCTAACTAGTAGTTTATTGTGGGTGTGGCTAACTAGTGGCTTAGCTCTGCACGATGATCTTCAGGCAAGCTTTATTAGATCATAAACAAAATATCACCACAAATATGTGACTGAAAGAGCTGGAGATGCTGCTGCACTGGCTGTTATGGTGAAGGCTGTGTAGGCTCACAAGGGGCATAGTTTTTGAGTGTGCCAGGGGTAAAGTGCACATGTTCTTCTAGGTCCAAAGCTTGATAAGATTTTAAGATCAAGTAACTCCCTTTATAGGAAGAAAAGATTGCAAATATTTTCCCAATTTAAACTGCCACTCTCTTGAGTGCCAATGGACCCATCACTCATTCACATTAGCACTGTTCTTGAGAGGAAGATTTTAAAATCCTGATAAACACAGTGTAGCAGCTTTGCTTCTGGTACTCTCACCAGCTTGATGAGATATGCCAGTAAACTTGCATCTGGAAGCATAAACAGCCCATGTTTCATTCTTTTTTTAAAATGTTCATTTAAAAATAATCTGTTTCTCAGCGGTGACTGGCACTGTAACTGATGTTTTCAAATGCCGGTTCACGGCTATAAATACTCACTGCATCAGACATGGGTAGAGACTATTATCAGTGGAAGGCTATCTTCCACTTGACATCCTATGTATTTTTTGGCATTGCATTGCTATTTAGCTTATAAAATGATTATAGTGCATGATAGTTACTGGTTTCATGTCCTTCTCCTTGATGTCTTGAAGAAAAATAGTAAGTTTGCATGTTTCCAAATTTTGTAGAGAAATTGCATCAGTTTTTAAATACCCCAAAACACAGTGTCTGATGAAAAAAAATTCTTTCTTGCAGACCTTTTCCTTGGCTCCTTTCTTCCTTTCCTACTGCAATGTTCATACACCTGAGGTTGCTAACAGTCACTAAATGTTCTAGTACATACAAGGCACTGTGTGCTTTGGACATTGGTTTCTTAATATTTAAAACCATCTTAAAGGGTAAGTACTGATTCCCCACTTGACTAATGAGGAAACTGAATTCCAAGGGTGGCAGGTAAACTTGCTCAAGGTCACACAAGTGGTAGGACTGTTTGGTATTCCAACCAGGTCTGTGGATTCCAAGCTCCGGCTTTCTTATATGCTAACATTTAATTTGCTTTAATGCTTTACCTACACTTTCCTGTAGGTAAACCTAAGGCTCCTGTTTACAGTCTTGTTAGCTAAGCATTCTCATTAGCTAGCTTCTATCTCACAGCCTGTATCCTCCATTTCAAATAAAGCAAAAATAAGTTCTATGCCAAGTTGCAATTTTTCATGTTTCTGTCTAAACTTTCATTTGGGAGTGTTAAGATTTCTTTCCAATGGTTACAAGTATTGTTTTCAGCAGATTAACAAGGACATCTCTCCCTGAAGGGTTGGAATAATGGCAACCAAGCCACAATCATCTCACACATAAACACAAATGACTATTCAATTAAACAAAGACTTCTGACTTTATTAATGGCATTAGAATTATACAACATGCTCATTTTAGAAATAATTACAGAATTGACATTTCCTGATAACTACATTCAAAGTTCTGCTGTATTGGGAAGTTAAAGCATAGGGCTGGGCTGGTATGTCAAAGGTCAGGATTGCCACTTTGAAGTCAGCTCCAGGCTGAGTCCTGGCTTAGTCACTTGCTAACTCCTATGATCTCATCTCTCTCTGATCTCAGATTTCTGCCCTCTACTGCTGAGCTACAGCCCCAGCCCTTAACTCTCAGTTTTCTCAACTGGAAAAATGGAGCCAATGAGGAAGACTGAATCAAGTCACTAGGCTTGTGCCCAGAAATGTTGGATATTACCATTTGTTCTGTGGCTCCTATTATCAGGAAATTCATAAAATGGAACATGAATTTCAGTTTACATGCCGCTGTACACAGGCAATGATACTAAAGGCAACTTCAAGTCATTAGACATGAACACTGTAAAACCAAATGGCTTAGTTAGCCATCTACAAAATAAAGGTAAACGGTGTTTTCTTGTTCTAGCAGAACTTACAGAACTCCCTAACTGAAGCCACTGGAAAACAGGACAACTCATGAACCTAAATTCTGCAAGCATTGCCCATCTAGCAGAGGTAGCATTTAACTGTTAGCCTTCCTTATGGTAAAACCTCTGGAGTTAACGACAAACAAGTGATGGGTGCAGGGATTCTTTTCCCACCCTCCAGAAGGAGCCAACAGTTGAGCTGACAATTTAACCTAGAATTGTCTGTCATTTTGAATTAGTCAACTAGCTCATGGGTGCAACAAGTTAGAATATTGAAAAGAAAAAAAGCACAGATGTTATCAACCTGCTTACATCACAAATGTAGATGTGTATCCCTGCCTTGTGAAATGTCTTTTGGCCCAGGCTTGTTCAAGTGTGCCATCTGGTTTTACAACATTTTACTCTCTCTCTCTCTCTCTCTCTCTCTCTCTCTCTCTCTCTCTCTCCTCTCTCTCTCTCCCTCTGTATGTGTGTGAACATGAAGCTGTGTGTGTTGGTTCAAATAGCTCAATAGGCAAAATTGTTCCTGATTTTAATAAGATGGAAATACTAAGAACATTTTATTTATTTATCTATCCATCAAAATATGACATGAATTCATGAAAAATTGACAAGAATTTGGTTTAACTCTGAAGTACAAAGGTTTGCTGCATTGGTTTCATTTCTGCTTTTTTGTTTGGGATTTACTGTTTGGTTTTGTGTCTTTAGCCCATGCTTACCTGGGAAGATTTGGAAAGCTTCTGAGTGTATTCCTTCTCGATCTGCTTCAGTCTGCTGTTGGCCTGCAAAACACACGTACACGAACACACACACAGTGACCTGTGAGCTTGGTATCTCTTCCACATGCCTATCACCAGGCAGCTGGGATGCCTGCCAGCGGCACCGCCCTTCTGGGCAGCCAGAAAACCACAGGGCTTGTCTTTGATCTGACGCCAACTATTCATCACTGAAGAAGCAAGCAAGAAAAAAAAAAGAGAGAGAGATCTCTCCTGCCAATTATTAGACAAACATAAGACTTCTGTGGATAGAAAGAAAAAGGGAAAAGGAGAGACAGAAATAGACATAGCAAGTGTGACGGCTCAAAGGTAAAGGAAGGGGGAGAACGAAGAAACAGGAAGGGGAAGGAAGACAAATGGGACAGGGAGCTGGAGGAGGAAAGGAAGGACGGTGGGAAGTTGAATACTCTTTGCCGTAGTTTAAAAAGAAAAATAGGTGTTCTCAGACAAAGGCAGATGTGAAAAGTTCAGACCACTAAGCAGAGTTGAGCCCCTACTTGGCTGAACACACAAGAGCAATCTTTTGAAGTGACAAATATATCTAAATCAAACAGTTTTCTATCCTGGAACTAGGGTAGCTTTCCCAGAATAAGTCCACATTGCTTAGAACGTGATTAGCCTCCTGCCACTCAGTTCTTAGTCCTTCAGATGTGACCCTTTTCTGCTCTCCGGGAGTGCTTGGGATCTTCACTCCCAGTGCTCAGCAAGGTTCCAGTGACATGCCCTGTCAACCATACAGACCCCTCGCTTTTTCAGAATGGGCTTTAGCCACTATTGTTGTCTGCTTGTTCATCTGCCTGCCACTCTGTTTTGTCATCTTTTTTCACTGTTGCTATTTTCCATATCTGTCTTTTGATTTCTCCTAAGTTTCCCCAGCTTTTACTTTAAGATGCCCTATGGGATTTGAAACAACTGCTAGTGGAGTTGGAATTTCTAAGGGTTCTGTCTTGTTCTATAAAACAACATCATTATGAACTCCCATTTTACAAGTAAGGAAACTGAGGCATAGAGAGTTTTGATAACCTTCCCAGCACCATATAGATTACAAAATGATGGAACTGAGACTTAACACCTGCCCCCAACACACACACACACACACACACACACCACAAGAGAAGAACAGGGAGCTCCTCTGCAAGAGCACACAGCAGTTACATGCACACAGGACATTGCTGATGTAAGGATTCAGGCATTATGCCGGCCTGCCCTGTCACCTGGCAGAATGCAATCAGGCAGTGCCCTTGGCCAGCCCAGGGTCCTATGGCTGCTATATCACTATGTAGTCTGCACGCAGGTTCAAAGGTCCTTTTAAGAGGAAAACTTCACCCACTTCCGGTCTATTTCCCGCTGCTCCTCTGAAGGGGCAGTTTTCCTCTCCTGTCTCTCCTCCTCCTCTCTTTCTTTCTTTCTTTCTTTCTTTCTTTCTTTCTTTCTTTCTCTTTCTTTCTTCTTTCTTTTCTCTTCCTCCTCTCCCTTCCCTTCCTTTACTCCCTTCCCTTTCCCCCAATAAAATTTCCCATCAAGCACAGCCTGCCTGGCATGTTTGTCTCTCGCCGGCCATGGAAGTGGCCAAGGTCGCCCTCGCTCCCCTATTATAACAGCTGAATTCTTCTGAGGTTATCTAGTGTCTGAAGATGCATCCATCTAGCCATATGTCAAGCACTATCTGAGTGATTCTCCATTTAAAGGGTTTTCTATACACTAGTATTTTCGTTCCTGTCTTTCCTCATGTCTGTTGATCTTTGGTGTCTTTTTTCTTAGAACCTCTATAGCTTACTGGAAGCAGTTTGGATATGTACACATTTCTGGTTGGATAGACTTCCGAATAAGGTATGACACATGGGCCTGGTTTCCTCTGAGGCCATCTCCCATTGGACTTCCTTGCTGGGCATTTGCACAGAGTGTATTCTCTAATACACCACTTACATCCTAGATCTGGATACCATGCCTTAGAAAGGCACCTGGGTATTGAGGACAGACAATATACACAAACCATCTTTATTTTAGCCTCAACTGCACCCAAGTTAATTTTTTCATTCTATCTCTTTGGAGAGTCCCAGGGTGGAGGTGGGACTAGTATTGTAAATAGCCAGGCCATCATCTGAGTCATGTTACTTCCTTATTCAAACTTTGAACCCATTTTCCAGTTGTCACCCTATCCCTGCTCAGATCCCTGCAATTCCTGAAGTCTTCCCAAACTTGGACAGCAGGACAGATTCTGCTGTTTTTAAAGGCATTGTCCAAGCCTTCTTTTTCCTGAAGGCTGTTTGTACTTTTAGTATGCCAAGACCATTTTTGATCCAGCCCTTTCTCCAGTACTAAAAATTTGTTGACTGTTATGTGTCCTGTTGTTTCCTTTCTGTCTTTTTGAAGGAATTATTTTATAAAAATGCAGACATCTGGGTTGCATTCCAAAATTCTGATTTCATTCAAGTTATCACAACAACAACAACAACAACAGCAGCAGCAGCAGCAACAACTACATGCACACACACACACACACACACACACACACACACACACACACACACACACCAACTCTGTAGTTATTTTAACATTCAGCTGAAGCCGTAAGTCACAGTCCATTCCCCTTTCTTTCATCCTCTTGTAGTGCTGGGGATCAAACCCAGGAATTCTAAATGGGACATCTGTGCCATGTCCCCTTTCCCAAGAACCAGGGATCATTTAAGGGGAGGATGCAGAAAGTTTGTAAAAGCCAGAAGAGGTGGATGACTATAGTGAAACTGTTTTCTGGACACAATTTGGCAGTTGAACCTATGAACTCACAATGTCTTGTTAGCATGCACAAGATCTGCACAAGATCAGGCCACACAGAATCACAGCATCAAGTGGGGAGGTATCGGGAAGTCTTACTCCTAGGGGAGGAGCTATTGGCAATTGATGGCCAAGAAAGGGAGAATCCATTTTCTTTGGGGATGAGGCCCTTGAATGGTTATCCATGCTCCCGTAACAACCCTAAACCCACGCACCCATTGGTAGCACCAAGAGAATATCGGAAATTGGGAGGGATTAGTGGTAGGGAGAGAGAGAGGAAGCGCTACATGGGAGGAAATGAAAGGTAGACATGATTACAACACACTACATACATGTATGAAATTCTCAAACAATGAAAAAAGTTTTATCCCCCAGGGGTTTGTGTTGTATCACCAATCTTTTATTTCTTATACTTTGATAGGACCTCCTCAGGGAGTGTGGACAAATGGCACATTTTTTTCTACTATGTTTAAGGACAGCAAATGATTTCTTGATTTGGATATCATAATGGAATGAGGAAGCAACCCAGGCCAGGTTCTTCTCAATCACAGTACTGAGACTGAAGTGATACTCACCATGAGATCCTAGAAAGCTAACAAAGTACTTGGTGAGAAGTGTTGGTTCAATGAACACATAGATATACAGTGCCCAGCCTTTTTCTGTGTAATCTCCTGAGACCTTACCTTTGAAGCAATCCTTTCAAAACCACATGTTTCTTGGACTCAAGTTCAAAACAATTCTTTATAGTTTATACCACAAATCTCTGCATCCGTAATTCCACTTAGTACACAGTTTGATTTTGTTTCTTAAAGTGTAGCAAGGGCATTGACTACTGCTATTAGTCTAGAGAGTAGTCAGACTCCTTGTGACGAACATAGCAACTCTCCGTTACAGAACTAGGGCCACTTTGAACCTCTTGAGGTTTATTGGTTTTGGTTTGTACTCAGCTAATGTTACTTATCACAAAATGCTTGAAGTATTTGTTGCTTTTAAAATAAACACGTACAGAGCTCTTACCATATGCCAGACACTGTTCTAAGTGCTTTAAAAATATTTGCCTACTAGAGAACCTAAAAATTAATTGCAGGTCCTGAAGACCAATTTCCTTTTCAGAGATGCTGGTCAGGGCAGGAAAGGCCGTGTCAGCTGCAGTTCCCCTGCAGGACCTGTGGCTAGCTGGCCCTGACAAACCAGACAAGGTCCTTTACTGATAAATACCCAACTCATCCATCAAGTCTAGGGCCACAGAACTGCACAAAACACACAGGAATCTCTCTACCTCTGTGCAGCTTCTGTGAAAGTGAAAAAAATGTAATTTTTAAAAGCAATGTTTTAGATGGCATGATTATCAATGAGAAAGACAAAGTAGGGGAAGGGGGTGGGGAGATGAAAGGTAGAGTGAGGTTTGTAATTAGAAAAACACAAGTTCTTGAAGACTTCCTTGATAGGGTCTTTGAGCAAAACACCTGCAGATTAGGAAGCCATGGGCAATTCCAAGTGTGAGGGCCCCAAGTGGAGGGAGCACAGAATAACAAGACCAGTGCAGGCGGCTAGTAACCAAATCAGGAAGCAGTGACTGAGCTGAGTTCTGACGCAGAAAAGGGCTAGAGTCCACACAGCACTGCTCATGGTTGTAGATAATTTGGTTTTTAATACAAATAACATAAAAAGTTACCAAAGTGTTTTCTGCATAAGAGAAAATGTAATTTGTTTTATGTAGTAATAAGATCACTCAAGATCTTATTGGGGGCAAGACTCAAACAAAGAAGCCACTTAGACTGCACCTGCAGTGCAGTGGGTGATGAGACACAGGTAGACTTTGGGAAAGACCCGAAAGAAGAACCAATTGGATATATTACTTGCTAGAAAGAGATGGTGCAAGAATGACTTCAGGGGCTGGAGAAATGGGTCAGTGGGAAAGACACTGGATGCACCTGTGTGAGGACCTGAGTTCAGCTCCCCAGACCCATAGAAAGATGGTGGATGGCTAAAATTTGGGCACTCCTACAGAAGGGGTACAGGTGAGTCTCTGGAAGTTCATAGGCCAACTAGATTCTTGTACACTGTGGCCAACAAGAAGAGACTGCTGCAAACAAGGTGAACGTAAGGACTGACACCCAGCATTGTCTTCTGACCTCCACATGCACACCATGGTGTAAGCACGCCATACCCATATGTACCAACATGCATTCATGCACACCAAGTTAAAAAAAACAATTTTCTTGTTCCAA